ATAAAACCCCCCCGGATGGTTTTAAAACCCTTTTCTTGTCAGATACGACCCCATGAAGACAGTCAGAGATGCTTTTCATCAGGTCAGTCAGACGATGAAACCCTGAAAGGTTTTCGTTAATTAAGCAACCCATGACGTTTCAAATGTAATAACCTTTTAGCCCCCATTTAAAATAAACAAGATATCATAATTTTATATTTTAGATATTCTAGCTGCCAAAAAGTGCCGGGAAAAGGGCGTTGTGATGGGTTGTATCATTTTCTAATGGGATACCCAAAAACCGTCGACAGATGAGAAAAAATTTTGGGAACCAAATTAGGTCAAATCTGCATTTCAAATGAAAACCCCTGAGGGGGAAACCCAACTTTCACGTCTTTTCCCCAAATGTGTTGGGTGTTTTAAAAATGGGGTAGCTGACAACAAGGCTATTTTTTTAATGTACCTGGCCTCGTCTTTTAAAAGTAAAATCTTTAAAATGGTTTTACAAATCCCAAAATTTTAATTTTGAAAAAGAAAAAAAATAATTAAATTTTTTTACAAAAATTTAACTACCCAAACCCAAAATTCCACCTCAGGAAAAAGGGTTTTCCCGATGCTGGGGGGGACATTTTGGAAAGGGAAATTTCGCCTTTTTTTTTCTTAAATTTAAACCCAAAATGCCTTTCCCAAATTTCATCCGGGGCTGTAAAAAACCCCTAGGGGAGCTCAATAAAAATTAAAATAATATTAACAATAAAAACAGCCTAAGTTGCGAAAAAATTTCGTAATTTGAGAAAAGGGATAGCCTAACCTTTTCAGGCGTTTTGGGGGGGGAAAAAGTTCGTGAACGAAGGTTTTTTAAAAAAAATTATTTATTATTTTTTTAAATTTCCTTGGGGGGGGGCGCTAAATCCATAAGAATCATACAGAGGGTTGGGAAAAAAATGGGAAGTTTAAATTTTGTTTTTATACGAGGAAAGGGAAGGAAGCCCGGGGAATTTCTTGGGGAACCCAAGACCCCCTTCACCAAGTTTTAAACCACCCCTTTCTAGTGGACCTCAGTTTGGGACAAAAACAAACCCCAAATCCATTGGGGAGTAACCGGTGTTAAAATTACCCAAACATGTTAAAGTGCCACCACTAGAAACAATTTAAAAACTTTCAACATTGAAATTTTGCACCCCAATTTTAAAAAAGTTTAAAAACCCCATTTTACCTTTGTACAGTGGTGAAACACAAATTAACAATTCAAAAAAAACGCCCCACCCGTTTGGTTTTAACTGGGGTTAAGGGAGGTTTCACCCCAAAATAAACAGTATCAAGTCCTTTGTTAAAAAAAGCTCACAAGATTGGAAAGGGCCCTTTTTATGGGAAACATTAAAAAATGGAAATTTTCTTCCGGTACCTACCTTGTTTGGGGGACTACCATGTACCCCCATTTTGGGGGGTTAAAACGTTGGGTCCACTGGTCGCCCACTTTTGGGTTCCAACCCCCCCCTAAAGCAACAAACCCGGTTGGGGTGGTGTAGTGTGTGTGTGTGTTGTGTTTTGGGGTTATTGTTGTGATTTGAGGGGTGTTTAGTTGGTTTATGGTGTTTGGGTGTTTTTCCGGGAAAATGAAACTTTATCAACCGGGGTGGGTAAAAGGGCGTTTGTGGGGGTGTTGGGGTTTGAAGGTAAATGTGGGAAGGTGTGTGGGTTTGTTTTGGGGTGAAAAAGGGGTTGGTGGGTTTTTGGGGTTTAAGGCCCCAAAAGTTAATCCCCACATTAAAGGGAAACCAAATTTTTTGGGGGAGGGTAAAACAGTAGGAAAAGAAGGGAAAAAAATTATAAAATTTTGATGGGTTTAAAAAGGGCTGGGGAGAAAGACATTTTAGTTTAAAATCATCCCCCCGTATGGGAAAAAACTGTTTAAAAACACTTTTTATAAAAACAGTTTTAAAAAAAAGGGGGATTCATAAACAGTCAATATAAACATTAAAACTGCTTGCCCTGTTGGGTTTTTTAAAATTTACCCTTTTTCTGCACCTATACAAATTTAAAACTTTGTTTCCCCCAAAAAAATAAAAAAAAAATTTTCCCATATAAAGCACCTTTTTTTTATAAACACGGGTGGGTTTAATTTAAAAAGGGGTTGTTTATTTAACACGGCCTTCCCAAAACCCCGAAAAACCCCTTTTAAAACAACAAGGTTTGTTTTTAAAAAACCCCCGTACTCCTCCTCATTTACCCCTCCCCCAAAAACTCCCCCTCCCCAACAAACAAAAAACCCCCACCCCAAAAACTCCCCTTTCCCCTTAAACCCAAAATTTTAATTTCCCCCAAAAATTATTATCCTTTTAAAAAACCCCCAACCAAAACCCCCTTTTTCGACCCAACACCAAAATTTTCCCCCCCTTTAAAGAAACCCCCCTTCCCTTTTTCCCCCCCCCAAAAACCCACCCCCCTTTTCCCCCCCTTCCCCCAACCCAAAAAACCCCCTTTTCCCACTTCCTCCCCAAAACCAACACCCCCTCCCAAATTTCCCTCCCCAACCCAACCCCCTCTCCAAATTCCCCCTTTCCCCCCCAACACCAAACCCCCCTTTTCCCCCCTTCCCCCCAACAAACCCCAACACCCCCCCTTTTTTTCTTCCCTCCCCACCCCCCCAAAACCCCCCTTCCTTCCCAACCCCCTTCCCCCCCCCAACACCCAAAACCCCCCCTTTTCCACCTTTTCCCCAAAACCAACCCCCCCTTTCCCTTCCCCCCCCACCAACCCAACAACCCCCTCCCCCCCCACCCTCCTTTTCCCCAACAAACCAAAACCCCTATCACACCCCCCCAATCTCCCCTCTCACTCCCTCACACCAACACCAACACCCCCTCTCCACTTCCCTACTCCCACCAGACCACTTCCCCTCTCCCCCCCAACACCCACACAACTCCCTCACCACCCACACTTCCCCCACACCAACACCCACAGTCTCCCTTCCACACCCCACACCCACACCAACCACCCACACGTCCTCCCCCACACCAACCCACAGTCCCCCCACTTCCTCCCCCACACTACATCCCCACACCACTCCCCCACTACACAAACCAAACTTCCCCACACCAACCCCCCACATTCCCCCACCTTCCCACCCCCGCACACCAACACCCCCACACTTCCCATTCACCAACCCCCCTCCCCCACACCAACCCCCCAACCCCCACACCAACACCCTCACACTCCCCCACACCAACACCCCCACAAACCCCCCCACCAAACCCCATCCACACTCCCACACCAACACCCCCACATCCCCCACACACCAACACCCCCACACTCCCCCACACCAACACCCCACACTCCCCCCACACCAACACCCCCACACCCCGCCACACCAACACCCCCCCACTCCCCCACACCAACACCCCCACATCCCCCACACCAACACCCCCACACTCCTCCACATCAACACCCCCACACTCCCCCCAAAACAAAACCCCCCCCAACCAACACCCCACATCCCCCACACCAACACCCCCACTCCCCCACACACACCCACACCAACACCCCCACACTCCCCCCACACTCAACACCCCACACTCCCCCCACCAACACCCCCACCACACTCCCCCACACCAACACCCCACACTCCCCCCACACAACACCCCCACACTCCCCCCCACACCAACCCCCCACACTCCCCCCACACCAACACCCCACACTCCCCCACCCCAACACCCCCAACTCCCCCACACAAACCCCACACTCCCACAAACCCCCCACACTCCCCCCACACCAACCCCCCACACTCCCCCCACACCAACACCCCACACTCCCCCCACACCAACACCCCCACATTCCCCCCACCCAACCCCCCACACTCCCCCCAACACCAACACCCCCACACTCCCCCCCACACCAACCCCCCACACTCCCCCACACCAACACCCCCACAACTCCCCCACACCAACACCCCCACACTCCCCCACACCAACACCCCCACACTCCCCCCCCCAACCAACAACCCCCACACTCCCCCCACACCAACACCCCACACTCCCCCACACCAACACCCCCACATCCCCCCACACCAACACCCCCACACTCCCCACACCAACACCCCCACACTCCCCCACACCAACACCCCCACTCCCAACACCCCCCACACCAACCCCCCACACTCCCCCCACACCAACACCCCCACACTCCCCCCACACCAACACCCCCACACTCCCCCACACCAACCCCACCCCCCCCACACACCCCCCACACTCCCCCCACACCAACACCCCCACACTCCCCCCACACCAACACCCCCACACTCCCCCCACACCAACACCCCCACACCCCCCACACCAACACCCCCACACTCCCCCCACACAACACCCCACACTCCCCCCACACCAACACCCCCACACTCCCCACACCAACACCCCCACACTCCCCCCACACCAACACCCCCACACTCCCCCCACACCAACACCCCCACACTCCCCCCACACCAACACCCCCACACTCCCCCACACCAACACCCCCACACTCCCCCACACCAACACCCCCATATCCCCCACACCAACACCCCCACACTCCCCCCACACCAACACCCCCCACCTCCCCCCACACCAACACCCCCACACTCCCCCACCCCAACACCCCCACACTCCCCCACACCAACACCCCCACACTCCCCCCACACCAACACACCCCACACTCCCCCCACACCAACACCCCCACACTCCCCCCACACCAACACCCCCACACTCCCCCCACACCCAACACCCCCACACTCCCCCCACACCAACACCCCCACACTCCCCCCACACCAACACCCCCACACTCCCCCCACACAACACCCCACACTCCCCCACACCAACACCCCCACACTCCCCCACACCAACACCCCCACACTCCCCCCACACCAACACCCCCACACTCCCCCACCTCCACCGTCATATGTTATTGATCAGTTTTGGCGGGAAGGGACAAAGTAGGAGTGTTAGTGGCGGCGGTGTTCCTGCCCTCCCCCACACCCCCACAACACTTACCTTGCCGAAGTAAGCGGCCCAGTGTGTGGGCGTCCAGCCGTAGTAGGTATCCTCGAGTGTGAGGTGGGCGTGAGCGTGGGCGTGGAGGAGGAGAGAGGTGAGGGCGGCAGCATCACCATCACGACACGCGCGGTGCAGTGGAAAGTTCACAGATAATGTATTCTCACTCATGAGGCTCCAGCTGCCATTGCCACTCCTGTGGCACTCACCAGACACGTCACTCATGGTATATGATGAGTGTGTAATGTGAGTGAAGAGCGAGGTAGTGTATAAGACGGGTGCTGGACGCTGTGTGTGTCTCCAGCACAACACTAGTCAGTGCCGGCTGACACTAACACCGCAGGGGCACTCGGGAAACAAACCTTCACACTACAAACTCATCTTCTTGACCTGCTTTTTCACCAGTCGTTAAGTTAATGCGTGGTTAGGGATGCTATACTGAGTTTCAAACTTCATGTGAGTGCTAATATAGAGTGATATAGTGATAGATAAAGCAGTGTGCCTAGCACACTTCCTGCCCTTCACAGCACTTCTACCTTTAATGTCTCTCTGCTTTAAACACCGCTGACATATATACACCACCTATATCACATATAGGATCCAAACACACATATATGCATACATTATCAACATTATTAACATATAATATGTACTTTAATGTTATAAAAGTAACTTAAGCTGCACTGGCATCTTGACAGTTTAGTTGCAAGATGCAACAATACAAAAATTCCCCACTGCCGCTGCAACACTTAATTTCTATGATTCACGACATTACTTTCTGAATTTACTAAGACAATTTATATTTAATGCCGTCTGTGTTATTATTTCTTGCTAGGTCACAATTTATTAGTGACCAAGAGGCTAGAGAGAGCAATGTGGAGGAGTGTTACCATCTCAGTGAGCTGTTATATTAATATTTACTGAAATATATGAGTTATTCTCAACATTGTTGCATGAGATATTTAATTATGAAAAAATATAAGAGGAGGCAGGGCGGCAACAGGTGCCATGGACCACTGGAATAATGTGTGCGGAGGGAGAGGTAGGCAGCGGATGGGGGGAAGAGAGGATGGTTGGGGGAGGGAGAGGAGAGGAGGGAAAGCTGAAGGATTGAGGAGATAAGTAGGGGGAATGTAGGATTGAGGAGGTAGGGGAAATGGGCTGTTGAAGGGAGGAGTGAGGAGGTTGGGGGAACTGAGGGCAGTGGGTGGTGATGGTGGTACAAAATATGAACCAGGTGGCACAAGATGTATGAACCAGGTGGTACAAAATGTGTGAACCAGGTGGTACAAAATATATGAACCAGGTGGTACAAAATATATGAGCCAATTTACTTTTAGCCGGATTCAGGGATCATCGCCCCTGCTGCCCAATCCCAGACCAGGCTTCTCAGTTGCTGACCTGATCTACTAGGTTGTTGGGGGTCAGCCTGAGCTCAACGTCTGCCCTACAACCCGTCTGGTCTGGAATTGGATAGGCTATGTACTGAGGGGTGGATTTCTCTTAGCGTATATATGCTGAGAGTTTACTAACTTTAATCCCTAAAATCAGCCAATCCTCATAACTACAGATGGCACTGTTGTAAAATATAAAACAGTCAACTGGGTGGCTATTGATAGTCTTCACAGTTAAAATGTGACTTACATGAGCCGTGAGCAGTATTTGCCCGTTTTCTGTTCACTCAGCTAACTTTTTCGATTTTATCTTATATATATTTATAGTTTTCCATTGTAACCTAGTCTAGTAAATTTATTTAGGCACAGGTACACGTAAGTACAATTATCATACAGTGTAAATTTGCTAGGATAACCCAAAAAGTCAAAGTTATTATTTCCTATCCTAGCCTAAACCAGCCTTACCTAACCTAACCCAACCCAACCTAACTTAGAAATGGGCTGTAAACCCTATATGAAAATGATGTGGATTTTTTTTTTAATTTTCCTAAATTTATGTGTAAATCTGAATATTGTGTGTATAATTGAGGCTCTGATTTGAGCTAGTAATTTCGAGTGAAGAAGGGTGTGAAGTGGCCGCCGAGTGATATAGGGAGACGCCATAATTAATTAATCCGTGTGCACTGGTTGCGACAATTATCTAATTGAATTGGGCGTCAACGAGGCCATAATTGTGTTTCGGCCTGGACTTGTAATTGGAACCTTTATTAATCTGCCCCGCTGAAAAATAGGGACAAAAAATATACGAAACCACTCTTATAAAAGTAGTAAGAATGAAATTTTAAGACGCCAGGGCTTCCTACGGCACACCTTGATATGTAACGCTTACCAATAATTTACAGTAGTTTTACGTTGGTCTTCGTAATTTCTAGCTGTCTAGGTAGCGTTGGGGTGTGTTCCACCTGTGATCCAAGTGGTAAGTGTTAATATATAAATTTTCTTTCAACTGTATAATGATTTGTTCACTATATGCAGTTATATTGTTAATACCAGGTGTAGTGGACTCAACATCTTATTCATTCAGGTTACAAAAACAATACCTATAC